TGATGAACTTAAATAAATGCTCATATAAATGTTTTGGATACGTATATCTTCACAGGAAATCACAATTTCACCGACAATAGATTCATACTGTACCCTAAATGAAGATGCAATCATGCATCCATCTAACCTTTAAAAAAGAAAAAAAAAAAAAATCTTTCGCGAAGCATTGTTCTATAAACTGATTATTCGTGAAATGAACTTGTTGGCTAATTGTCGATGATTACATATTTCAACGAAACGATTGTCGGTAAAATAAAGCTCTCCAATGTTGTGTTTTATTTCACTACGGCTGATTCTGATTGTAATTTAAATAATAATACACTTGACCTTCGCTAATATCAACCCATTTGGATTACTCTTATATTCATGTTGATAGTGATATTAGTAAGTGATCATAGTAGATATATATGATATATAAAAATTTATAAAAATTTGTCTTGTGGCTAACGTAGGTTGATATTAACAAGGGTCATGTGTAGATAATCGAATCTACTATTTTTTTAGATCACAATCAAAAATGAGCCGTAATGTAATGCTTTTATTCTTACCAGGTGTAGCGAAAAGAATCGCATCAGAATCTGCGATTTCTTCCTTAAATTTAATAACAGATTTTGGTGGATCTCCTTCCAAATCCTATTAACATTAATGTAAGATATAGAGATGTCATATTTAATAATATGTTATAAACATACCTCATTAAAAACGGGTAATTTACTCCAATCAATGATATCAATCCGAGCTTCAGGTACATGCTCAGCACATAGTTGTTGAGCTCGAAGAATCAGTTTTTTATTAGCACTTTCTATACGAAGAGATCCACAAATTCCAGCAATACGAATTATGCTCGTCATTTTTTTTTTTAAGTTGATTTTAAATATTAGTTCAAATATGTGAAATCTTGTATGAAAATATTGTTCCAATGTGTAAATTTATACATTATCTATGTATACCGATCAGGGTACTTGGCGACGCCAATGGTGCACCATTATGGTGCACCAACTGGCGCGCAAGTACAGGCATGGTGCAGAAGTGGCGAGCCAATCATGCTTAAGTTTACTTCATATTAGAAAGACATGTATGATTCGGGAGTTACAACAGACGACTTTTAGTTGGCTTCTAAAGGGTAGAAACAGATTTATCTAATAATTTAATAGTAACTTATCACAGTAAGTTAACTGTAAAAAGTAACGATAAGTTATGTTATTTAAATTGATCCGAAAGTTCCCGATGTAGACAGTGAATGAACACAAAATACAAGCGTGGTTGTATTATTAAAAAATGAAAGAAATTTCAGTAATTGTCCAAATAATAAGTAGTATCCCTGGAGGTAAAATAAATATATATTAAGATGCTAGCCAGCAATATAATATAGTGGTGCGCCTGATGGCGCGCCATGCACCAGAGAATTTCGTTAGCGCACCAGTGGTGCACCACTGGAATTATAACTGCACCAACAACCCTGATACCGATACTAATTAGTAATTTTGCGTGTAACCTTTACGATTAAAAAATCTAGGTTAGTAATCAATTCTTGATATCTGATATGTCACCCATGTATGCATAAGCACATAAGAATTTCATAGAAATTGCCAAAGTAGTCTATCAAGGACGCCGAAAATTAATTTTCCATAACGATAATTTTTGGGGAAAATCCATAATTTTGGGGGTTATCCATAAAAAAACCAAAATTTTGGAAATTTTTATGCACGATTTTAGCGTTTGATTGGTTACAGATCACGTTGTCTGTTAATTCCTATTAATCTGATTGGCTGTGTTCATAAAATTCAAATTTCGAGAACTTCGGGATGACGAAATTTTTGGTCAACAATCCAAAATCATGTGATATACTGTGATCTGGCCCAAATTATTAAATTTAATTTCTTAATGCCAGCCAAATCCAAAAATTTCCAAAATTTTTACGTTATCCAAAAAAAAATTCACCTTTAATCCAAAAAAAAAAATCGGCGTCCCTGTAGTCTATACATCTTCCCCAGCATCGCCACCAAAATTTTTTCGATCACGTGATATCGACAAAATTCTTTAGAGTTCGTTTATGTT